TTATTTAGAAGTTTAAGGAGCTTTTCACTCCTTTTTTATTTCTATTTTAATTAATGCCTTTGATATGACCTGTAACAGCGCTAACACATTATTATTACACAAATTATTACAAATAAAAAATATTTTATTAGTGAAACTATGCATAGAGGTTAACCTTTTTTTTTTAATAAAACAAAAACAAGATCTGTTATGATTAGGTATTTACCAAATGTCAAAAATGGTACTAACTGTTATTTGTTAATACTAAATCTTAAAACTGCGAACAATTAAAATGATACCCTAATATCTACAATTTTAATTATTACAGTTTCTTAAATTGTTATGAAAGCAATTATTATTAGAAAATGTTTATCTTTAAAAATCACCACAAAAGAGTTACTTAATTTTTACTAAATTCTTTTTACTTTAAATTTCTTAGGTTAGGAACTAGCTTTACACTCTCTGCCACACGAACAAATTTATCTCCAAACTGCAAAAATATTCTGAAACGGCTTCTTAGGACAAAACAAATTGAGGCTGAAGTTGGTACTGGACACAAACTTCGAAAATCTGCTTCTTTAAAAAACTGGAACCATGTGATCCGCAAATACTTTAGAGGCAAATTTCTTAGGTGAGAGGACGACATAAAGTCAATCAATGATTACTCTTATCTAAACTGACACATTACATTGGAGTATAAATCACTTTTTAACAAACTTGTCGGTTTTTTGCCGACTAAACTAAACACGTCTGCTTTTAATCTTTCAATCCTCACTTAAACTGCAACTATTAACTGCTCAATATTACACATTTAACGGCTACTGTCACTTTATACGATATTTCCATGACAAAAAAGGAAAACGAAAAGATTTTCGAATTTGAAGAGAAATTCGGACTCCAATAAAATAAACAACGCATTTAACAGCGGCCGGCCTTACCGCAGAGTGATGTAATGCGCTTCTCACATACTCCTCGGCGATCTAAATGGATATTTATTTAGAAACGCAATATTAAGCGGAAAACGTTCAAAGAAAATAGCAAAGAATATTCGCCTGTGGTATATATAAACATACTGTAAAATGTGTTTTGATCAACTCGGCGACGCAAAGAGAATTGAAAAGAATATTCGGTCTTTTAACATATACGAGGGGATTTCAATATATATCAAGGAATTTAAAAATGCTACAATGTTCTCGTCCGATTTTGTATATACTATTTTTTTATATAATATAAAAGTATTTTAATGCGTTTTCCGCACAATATTTTATGAGAAAAAATGAGCTAAAAATTCTTTCAATCACTTGACCGTCTTAGAATGTAACGAATCAGGTCATCAACAAACTGTTCTGTCACGATTTTTTCACTCTTCTCATATTGACAATCAAAGCGATAATATTTCTGCGATATGAACAATCACTGTTTACTCAATGAAAGTACATGGTGGATCATATACTATGCCACTCCAAACGTAATTGACGCGTTTAGGAACTATCCTCTAACTAAACAAGCATCTGCTGATTTGGTCCTTGTAAACATTTCCCTAGACTGGAATCTGTAGTTAGCCAAAACTCTACAAAAAAAACATTACGTTGTGTAAATTGCATTCGCCACCTCACCAGCTCTTTGCCAAAATTGGTCCAAAAGAGTATTTACTGCCTAGGTCAAGGTTACGGTTAACCGCACTATATATTACTACATTTAATGAAAATAAACCACAGCTTAAATTAAAAATATGTTAGTTTTAACATATGACATCCATGTAGAAAATTGTTTATAATGATGCCAATAAAAACAGAAATATATAAAATACATAAAAATTGGTTTCCACTGTGATAGATTTTTTACTCTATTGAAATCTAACAAAAATAGATTGCGATGCATGACTAATTATGAATAATGCCATTAACAGTATTTCATAAAATGGACAAAAATGTTTTTATTATATTATTACTTAATTGTAAACTAAAAGATTTAATAATCCTTCCAATTAATACCAAGTGACGTTCCAGAACCAAACACAATTTTGTCTTTAACGAATATTCGAATAAATTAACACACCCTCTCCCTTTCTCTTAAAAAATACCCAACCGTTTGCTGCACCACCTCATTCCACAACGATCACGATCAAACAAAAAAAGTTTAATCCTCATCCCCGGAGATACAAGAAAAAGGGAGCACAAAACTTCTTTCCAATTAAACATTCCCCTCTTTTGGCTTTCTACTAATTCGACACCGGTGCGACTGCGGATTTAAGGAAAAAAGGAGTATTGCGTTCGGCAGAGATGTATCCAAAATGGGGTAAAGAGGTAATTTCACAACAATTTTTCTTCATGGGGAACAAAATGGTTAAATAATTTCGAATGACATCCGTTCTTCATTTCCGCTCTTTTTTTGCTCTTTCTCGTATAATTATTTTCCGTGTCTTTTCCACATTTTTAGATATCGAGTTAGTACAATTAGGGGAGAGTGGGGCTCCTTCAGACATAAAAATTTGAACTGTCATATCACTCTAAATATCTCACCAAATAAAGGAATGAGACAGTTTCAGACACAATTTTGAAAAATGACAACCTCATATAAATGTTTTAGAAATTATTTATTACAAAATTTAAAACTATATTATGATACTTATCAAACCCCTAATGCATATTGAAGTTTTTCCAATGAAACTGAAAAAGACAATAATGATTTCTGTCGCTTTGTATTCTGCTCAGAAGGAGTTGGCAAAAGGGATACAATTTCTGATAAAGAAGCACTAGAGATATCTGGTACGATGGAGTAGAAAAATTTATGATTTACTTCAGATGACATTCTTAAAAATGAAATTTCAACATCGCCATCATCACATTTACAAATGATTCTCCCAATATAGTACACACCTTTTTGTTTTACAATCCCAAATTTAACCAGCACAAAATCTTCAATTTTCAATTCACTCCTGTTAAAATTTTGCTGTGATTCTTTTAATACTTGATCATCAGAGTTTTTGCCATTTTCATCATCGGTTGTCTTCTCATTTTCTCATTTTCAAAAAGTAGTTGTCTTTTCGTAGATTTAGTACGTTCAGCATTAGAATTGGTGGTTTTCTTTGTTTTTTTATTGATCTGTTTTGCTGTCAGAAGAAGCTTTTCTGGGGTGTCAGTTATTATTCTGCTTTTCCCCTTTTTTCTTGGTTTCGTGGAGCTAGTATTGAAATTCGATTTTGGATATCCTCGTATCTCCTCAAGACTTAAATAACAGCCAGGCTGTTGAGAGGGCATAGACGTAGAGTTTTGGCAGCTTTATGTTGATGGGGTGTCTATTGGTTGCTAAAAGTTTTTTCTTGAATTTGGGGAGATGGGTGGTTTTTCAGCTTCTAAAGTTAATAGACTTGCAGCTAGTTGACATCTTAGAGGTTCATCAGGAAGAGTTTGGTCTGGAGGATTAGGTCTCTTACTGACCAAACTGGGAGCAAACATATCGTTAGTGTAAATGTGCCTGTCAACTGGAAATATTTCTGTTTTTTTGAAAGAATTTATAATGCTCTGTGGTAACATGGTACGGCCATGTGCTATATCCCAACACATGCGGCTACGTGATAGATTCCAAAACGTTGGCCTGGGTTAAACTTCAACCATGAATTAGATATAACTAGTTATATCTACTCCCAGATATCTAAACCTTGCTTAGTGCTTCATTATTTTTCCATCAATTTCGATTGGTTTTTCTGCTGATATTATCATATTGTATTTCTTAGCTGTATTATTGAAGATATTGTGTTAATCTTTGGAGCATCGTCTTCTCTGTCGGCGATTAATGCGACATCGTCTGCATAACATAATATTTGGATGTCTTTGTTCCCCATTCTGTAGCCATGACCTTTACGTACTGCTTGTATATTTCGCCTATTATTATATTAAAGGGAAGTGGGCTTAACGAGTCACCCTGTCTGACTCTGCTTTGTACTGGTATACACCGGGTTAGTTTTTCCACTTATCTTTGCCTGTATTCGATTATGGGAGGTAGATGTTTTCAATGGTTTGTATAATATTGATTGGGTATGTTTGTTTTATATAGTAGGTGTAAGATGTCTTCGACTTTGATGTCATCGACAGCCTTTGTCAGGTGTATAAAACATAGATATGCTGGTTTATTGTACTCGATGGCCTTTTCTGTAATTTGTCTTAGTACAAATACGGCGCCTACGCAGGATCTTCCGGATCCGAATCTTTGTTGTTCATCGGATAAAGTTAACCATGAATCAATTACACCATTATAATATATTTTAAAAGGTTTTATCAATCCCACATCCAGTGGTTGCATCATGTGGGTACAATGGGATGGAACTGTTAGAATATGCACGCCATTATCTCTTGCTAATGCTAATGTTAATGGAAAGATTCGAACGTACTTTGAGGTTCGAATCGGTTAGTAAATGCCCCTTTGTCCACTTTTCGTCGATCGATGATGATAGGTATAATAAAAGGTTGAAGTTGCGGTAGTAAAGTGTTGATTTATTGACTTCTCTCTTCTTAAGGTTCCATCTTCTAACGAAGGTTGGATATCAACATGGCAATTCTTATTTTACTTACAGCAGCTCTAAATAGTTGTGCTAGAGCTCAGATTAAACCATTCCCTTAGATTTCGTAGCCAGGAGGTTCGTCTTCTTCCTGCATCTCTTTTACCTTTTATTTTGGCCCTCTATAATCAAACGTAGTAGCCCATAACGAGGACCTCTTAATATATGACCGAAATATTCTTCAAGTTTCCGCCTCTAATTATCTGTACAATTTTCTTCCCTCTTATTAACCCTATCAAGGACTTCAATATTGGTAATTTTGCCTACCCATGCTATTCGTAGCATCCTTCGATAACACAAACGCTCAAATTGCCAACGCCTTATTGACGGCTACTGGTAATTACACCATATGATATTCGTTAGGTAACTAGTTATGATTGACTGTCTAATATATTTGTTAATTTAACGATAGTTCGTTAGCGTCTTTCAGTTCGTTCTGAAGAGTATGTGAACAAGTCTCATGTTATTCACTTGTATGTTGCTCCTCATGATCCAGCATCTCGTTTAGTTCCATGGATGACTCTCGGAAATATGAAAGCTCCCGATCTTTGATTTCGATAGCATCGGTTAGCATCTGTAAGTGCCATTCGGTTTTTTGCAACTTTTCAAGCAGGTCTTTACTTGCAGACTGTTGAATGCTTAGTTTTTCTGCCAGTTCCACCTTGTTATTGTTCATTTTAGCAAACACTTTAGCCTACTCTCTAACTGCTCTGTGAGTTCCATATTTTTGCTGGACAGCTCGAGCAGCAATCACTTTCCATAGTAGCCAGTAAGCCAGTATTGCCTCAATTGACAAGTAGCTCTCATGATTGTCGCAAATTAAAAGCATTCTTTTCTTACACAAGCACGTGGTGTTCGTGTGTATTAAGGTATAAAAAAAGCGCTTAGTAAAAGCTTAAAATTTTTTATTATAAAGAAGATCTTTTCGGAATTGTATCATTCCATCATCAGTTTAATAAAAAGTTGTTTAAAAAACATTGTGTGGCCACATAAAAAAACATTCGATGGACATCTGGATTTAAAAAATACTCTTCATGTATATTTATTCAGGTAAATGCTATAGACTCTTGACTTGTGTAATATTAAAAAATGAAACTGGGTGGCATCTTATATGACCCCCTGTAGTTAGTGCGGTTTTATTGACTTACATTACCATTCTTTTCTTTTTAAAGGAACCTGAACATTTTTATAAAGTGCTGCATCACATGAACGAAATTGGAAGTGGTCATTCAAACAGACTGATGAGCCAAACCCAATGTACCGTTTGGTGCTCCCATTATCATGTGGCTCTTGAAGTGCACTCTCGGAAATACTGGAGCAGGAAGTATTGTATTTCCAGCCGCCATGCCTCCAGCATTTATAAACAAAACTGTGGTAACCAGAGTTCCTCTCTCACCACTTACAGCAGCTGCTACTTGTTTGGCCTCTTTGTGAATCACACGAGAAGGTTCTTGGATAGTTTCAGTTTTTGTTTCATCCATATTCCAAATCTTGAATAAGTCACAGTGTTCTGGGTATCTTGTGATAATTTTTCATAATTTTTAAAAAAAGCATTCACATTATGTTTGTTAAAGGAAATTGCACGTGAAATACTCCATCCTTTAGCAGCACGGAGAGATAATCTTTGGTGGCGTTTCATAAAACCCTATAGCCAGTCGTTTCCAGCCATTCCTGAAGCTTCCCAGTTTTTACGACAGTCAATATTGTTCATTTTGGCAATCTCATATGCTAGTTTTCGAGTTTCTAGATTGTTAAGACTATAGAACATTTTTAAACACTTAATTAAATATGCCTCAAGGTCGTTTTCCTGTTTGTCAGTAAAACCTTTCTAGTGTCGTTTCTTAATTTCATATAATATTCGCCATCTAGGTTATCCCTAAACTTCTTAACGTACATACCAACAGTTTGATATTTTAATCCAAATGTTTTAGCAGGATTTCTTATCGATTCACCATCTCGGATGGCCGCTACACATTCTTTCATAGATTCGGCATCGAAATTTCCTTTTGTTTTTGTCTTTTTTCCTATTTCTTACCATCTTTAGACAATCTGCAATAAAGAAAAACCTTTTTTAAATAACTAATAATACATATATGTAACTAAATAACTAAATATATGTATATATTATTTTTATACATTACATTTTACCATTATTAGCACATTATTTTCAAAAAGGTGTCTCTCTTTTCCATTGCGTTTTTCTGTTCCTACTCGATGTGTCCCAGACTAAATGTAAAAATATAACCTAAGAGTGCCATTAGGAACAAATGTGAATAGTACAGATTATACAGCAATAAATTGAACTTGAAAACTGGTAGCAATGTTAATTATCCTAGAAGCCTTATCTTTTAATAAAAAGCTCATCTTCAATTCAAAAATTTGACTTTCAACCACCAAAAACTAACTTTTCACTTTATGACATGAACCCTTTACTGCACTGTTCTGCAGACTGAACTGCATTAGTGTGAGTAGTAATGGAATGTTTTGATGTCAGTGTTGCCAACCCGAGTTCTTAAATTTACCCACAATATTAATGTCTGAAGCTGGCCCCTGTCTGAAGGAGCCCCCTTCTCCCCTAAACCTAAAGCTAAGATTAATACTATTACAGGAATTAACCTCACCAGTCTTCCGGGTTGAACCGTGTTGATTATCATTTCGCCGAGCTTTCGACATCTTCTTCGATGTCTTCGTTGGGGTTTCCGAGGTCTCACTCCGAGTCCCCAGACACTAGTACACTGATCACTTACCAAATATTACTGGTGCTGGGAATAGAGGACGGGTAATTTATACCGTCGATGATGATGTGGCTTGGGTAGAGGTTGGCGTGGGGGCCAGCGTGAATATTGGCGCAGGAAATTGGCGCGGGGGTTGACGCGAGTATTTCTGATAATAGGATTTTGGTTGACGGGTGGAGCGGATGGTATTTTCTTTATGAGAGGTCTCCAAGTCGAAGGTAACCGTAAACCGTCATCTCTTTTATTGAGACAATTTGGCCTTACAATTGAAAAAATGCGTCTCTTCAGTATTCTATTAACGTGTGGTTTCAAAAGTGCATGAGACAAATTATTGTGATTTTCTACACGATACACCTTTGACAAGACGTTTAACGTTTTGCTCAATCATGATGTCCTTGATGACACCACACCAAGAACAGGCATCTCGGGATAGAGACAAAATTGTATTTACTGGTGCAACCCCAAATTTTCTACGGCATTAACAAAAATTCATTATTTAGTTTCTAGTCCTCACTTCTGTCGCTTACTTTATTTCAATTTTGATATTTATACCTAAACTATTTTAATTTGTCTATCTGATCGGATTAGGAACGTCACTGAATCTGTAGATCTAGGCAAACGAAACATCTCCGCTTCGCTATATCTTTTTCCTCGATTGCGTCAACAAGAGTAAGAGAGAGAAGCTCGATTCGTCGGAATCTTTAATTATTTGCAGAAATTCCGCCCTGCGCTGTCTCGTCCGACTCTGATTAATTAATCATTTTGAAACAATTGAATTCCTGCAGTCTATTTAACAAATACTGTCTGCGTTCCTGCGGACGCTAAATCGACTGAGGGATGTGTAACAGTCTGTCCTCTTAGAAAGCTCCAGATGAAATATAAACCACCTCAGAATATCAGACGAGCGAGCGAGAATCGAGAAGAGGACAGAGGAATGCGGATATATCTACTGCAGGAATTTCTATAAGTTGGGAGGGGGAGTGTTATATTTCGATTGTTGGAGTTTAACAGTCTATTGTTATGTTTTATCTTTTATTTGAAATGGTGGAATTGTTTAGAGCTCTTGCATTATACAGTAGGTATCATTGAAGCAAGAAATGTTTGTTGGCAAATAATATAAACTCTTAAATATTGGGGAAATCTGTAAGAAAAACTCTTAATGAGTATCAATTGTTTCGCCGAACGTTTTCGCCAAAGAGAATTAATTTGGCTTCTTCAGGGCTGAAAGAGGAATAAATTATAATTAGCTACCATATTATTATCTATTAACAAACATTATTGGTCTTACCGTAACTAGAATTGTCGAGTTAGGATGTTATAAAACTTAGCTAGTAACCACATAGTGGTTTTTTTGTTAGTTTGTGCAAGAAACGTTTTTTTTAACGTAGGAAATGTATGGTAGCTTTGAATTTAAAACGCAAAGGTTTACCCAAGGTTAATCGAAAAACCCAATGTAACTACATTTAAAGGAAGTAATTCTTTGAATTGTCGGCAATAACTAAATTTTTGATTGTTTATAAAGTTTAAATGTGAGGTTCTGTTTTCTCAGAACGCATGTGCTGACAAATCAATTATACTCCATTCCACGAATATACGACTGTTTTAAATTCGCTTTAAGGTGTCAACTTAAATGGTCCAATGTGCTGAATTGTACAATAGTAAATTCTCCCCAATTTTAAAATACTGTTATGACAGATATACACCTTAGATTTAAATATGAAGTTATGATCTAAATATAGAATTAATAGTTTATAGAATAGTTGTAATTCAGATTTTGATGTATACTCGTATAATTACTCTCATTGGACTTTAGTATTGTAAACAAGTTGGTTTTTTGAATTAAGTTATTTAAACAAAGTGTAACAATACTTAAGTGATTAAATAGTTTAATTTATCTAGTCGAATATTCAATTAGTATTAAAAAAACAAAAAAAAGTTACTCTTACTCTTATTCTCCTTATCACCATTACAAACAAATACACTACACTAAACTCTCTCTTAACGGACACGTCTCTTCACCGGACACCTCTATATTGACGATTTTTAAAACTAAAATCAGTCGGCGATTTATGAAACTATGTAAATTTTCGTTACTTTTTAATATCTGTAATTACTCGGTACTTTAACTATCAATAGCCGCCATGTTATACCCGTTTACTTTCGGAACTTTTAAGAGTGTATCCACTCAAAGCAAACCAAAAACTAACAAAGTGGAATACTAGATTCTTTTTCTGGTTTCTGAACCATCGTTCTGCCAATTTCTTTTTATTACCGTTATAGTACCTAGTAATAAAGTAATAAAGATACCCGGCTCGCCTCTTTGGTGTTTACATTTCACCAAAATCCAACCCAAATGGCTGATGAACACATTTTAACTTCATAGAGGTCATTGTATTTATTTGTAGAAGCGTTTACATAATTTTTTTTGTTATTTTCGGATTAATTTTCACAATAAATTTTGCGTCTATCTGAACATCTATTAACTGAAATAATTTTAGCTTATATGTCATAGTAACAGAAGATCCTTTTTTATGGAATAATAATTAGACCAATTTACTTTCATACTTCTACTCGTACAGTAAAATATTCGTTGTAGCAATAATTCCAAACAGTCGTATATTCGTGGAATAACCTATAGTACTTTTGAATATTTATGTCGTTAAGGTTCATTGGTAAAACCGAATGAAGATAAATACCAGTTTGGGGAAATAATATTTTAGAATTTTCTTAATTGAAATTCTTTTTTAATTATAGTATATTGTTCATGTATTATTATAATAATATCTTATTGAGATGTATCTAAGAAAAGCAAGGGAATGTTATCTTTTTTAGTTAATGAAAATTATTATTAAAGTAGGTTAGTTGTTAATGGATATATCAGTGAAGTTGGTTATCTGTGATGTTGTATTGTTCTTGGTATCTGATTTAAGTAAGAAGTGGT